TGCCCCCCGTTGCCCCCCTTTGCCTTTTTTACCCTCAGCAGTGGGCTCTGATCGGAGCAGTGTGCTCAGAACAGGTGAAATGGCAGTGTGGAGATAGATAGGGTTTGTTTCTGACTGACAAGTAGAAATATGTTCAGCAGCAGCTTAAGCTGTTTAAAGTCAGTGGCAGGGAGAAGCTCTTTTGCTTAGGGTTTCTGATTGTCCTCGGACTGTTCAGATTCTCTGATAATGTGGTTAGGGATCTGAGGCACCTCTGTTTGTGGTGGTTGCCTCCTTTGCACCCTGCTGGCTCTGGTGGGATGTGGGATGGCCTTCTGCAGGTTTTTACCTTACTTGAAGAGAAAGCTGTAGGTCATTTTGTAGTATAGGCTATTTTTTTCCTTGTAAATTTATAATGAACATGGTTGCTTTTATCTTTAAGACCTATTACTTTCTGTGCTAGCCAATACCTTCTATTCCTCTGGTCATTTTTGCTGCTTGGAAGCATTTCCCTGCTGCTGTTGCTCCTTTTTAACAGAACAGCATTAATTAATTAATCATTGGTTGTAATGTGTAATACCCTTTCTGGCACAAGACAAGGCATTATGAGGAGAGGCTAAGGGAGTTGGGATTGTTCAGCCTGGAGAAGAGGAGGCTCAGGGCAGACCTTATCACCTTCTACAACTCCCTGACAGGAGGTTGGAGTCAGGTGGGGGTTGGTCTCTTCTCCCAGGCAACCAGCAGGAGGACAAGAAGACACAGACCCAAGCTCTGCCAGGGGAGGGTTAGGTTGGATATTAGGAAGAGATTTTTTTATGGAGAGAGTGATCAGACACTGGAATGTGCTGCCCAGGGAGGTGGTGGATTCCCTGTCCCTGGAGGTTTTTAAGGTGAGGCTGGATGTGGCACTTAGTGCCATGGGCTAGTGACCACAGTAGGGTTGGACTCGGTGATTTTTGAGGTCTCTTCCAACCAGGTTGATTCTATGATTCTATCATTCTATGATTACACTTGATGTGGCTCCTCAGGCTATTGCATTGGATGACTCAGTGGGAAGAAAGGTGGGAGAAGCCACAGCCTTGCTGTGCCTGGTAAACCAGCCCTGCTGCTGTTTGTAAAGAAGCAGTGTCATTAAGTGGCTGTGTGCTCAGTGCTAGTGAGAGCACTGAGCACACAGCTGAAATCCACTCCTGGAAGCAAAGTATCTGGCTGCCACCACCAATGAATTAGGCACAGTTAAGAGACACTGGCTAGCAGTTCTAGGTCTTGGAGCATGTTGCATACACAGAGGACTTATGCTGAAAGAACAGGTCTAATGCTGTCTGTTTTTGTCCCAAGGACTTTGTATTCTATGCCCCTCGCTTACGGATTAACAAGCGTATCTTGGCGCTTTGCATGGGGAACCACGAGCTCTACATGCGCAGGCGTAAACCAGATACCATTGAGGTGCAGCAGATGAAAGCACAGGCTCGGGAAGAGAAGCATCAGAAACAGATGGAGAGGTTGGTAGAGTTCTGGGCTTGACAGGTCACTGTACAAGTAGCATCATGTGCTGGGTAACTGACTGGCAGCACTGTAATCTGCTTGAGCCAGTAGAGGGGATTGCTTTCTGCTCCACTAGGTCTAACCGGGCTGATGGTAGTGGCACTCATCACAAGTGTGACCCACCATTACTTTCATGGAGTTAAAGATTTGTCTGCCCATTTGGTGGGACTCATACAGATCTTGATACGTGGAGATCTCCCTTAGAACATTGCTGTTCTGAACGTGCCGTTGAGATGGATGCCAGCAGAGCTGTTTCTACACTTCTGAAAAGGGACATGTCTAGTGTAAAACTCATCATCTGAGTGCTGTAGTGCACATCTCTTGAGCTCAGGGCTTTACTAGGGAGTGCTCCGGTCTGGGTGGTAGGTAGTTTTAAGTGACACTGACTTGCTCTCGTCAGAGCCCTGCTGGAGAATGAGAAGAAGAAGAGGGAGTTGGCAGAAAAGGAGAAGGAGAAGATTGAACGTGAGAAGGAGGAGCTAATGGAGAGACTCAAGCAAATAGAGGAGCAAACCAAGAAAGCTCAGCAAGGTAATATGAAATCTTCCAGTGTTTCCTTAGGTGCATAGTCTGGGTGAGAAGTGTTCAAATAGTACAGCTGTGAGCATCTCTGAGCCATTTGTCTCTCCAGCATTGTGTGCTAGCTGGTGTTAGGTCCCTGGTTTAGCTTCCTGAAGCTGAATGTGAGTGCTCCATATGCAGCTGCTGAAAAAAGGCTGCATGAAGGTGACAGCCCAGTTGCCTCTCTGGCAGTGGGAGTACCTTGTTGTTCCTGTGCCAGCTGGAAGCTTTGTCTCAGCATATCTGTTGGGGAAGGAGACGCAAAGTGTACGGGGTCCTGCCAGCCAGTGCTGTGGGGTGATTGCTGTCTTAATTGCTTGGCCACAGTCAGTGTGGTGTGCCTAAGCAAAATGCTGGATGATTCACTGCCACTAAGGCTGTAACTTTGGAGTGGATACTTTCCCCCAAATCAGTTGGGGCTGTAACAGGCCTAGCTCTTAGTCTTCCAGCTCCAGTAACAATGTGAAGGAGAGGAAAGAGGACAGTTGCTCCTGTCTCTCCTCTACCAGTCCCTCTGAAGGAAAATCCTTGTCCAGAAGGTAGGCATGAGGGCACTTTCCTCTTCTGCTACCATTCATTACTTGATCTCTCCTGAAATGTGCTCCCCTATTCTTTCAGAACTGGAAGAACAGACCCGCAGAGCTATGGAGCTAGAACAGGAGAGAAAACGAGCACAGGAGGAAGCAGAGAAACTGGCTAAGGAGCGCAGGGAAGCAGAAGAGGCAAAGGAGGCTCTATTGAAAGCATCCCATGACCAACAGAAGACCCAGGAACAGCTGGTGAGTGGGCAAGCTGAACGTAAAGAAGGGGAAACAGTGAAAGGTGAGGCATCTAAGCCCTTGAAGCAAACCAGGCTGAGTGTGGTGAGGAAGCACTATATTCATAGGTTCTTTAATTTTTAGCCTCAAGCAGGTGTAATTGTGTGTAAATACAAGTGTATTTGTACAGTAGATTTGTTGTGCTTTTTACCCCTTTTTGTATGTGATGAGGAGAAGAGTGTAGAGCTCGCTGATGGCATTCCCTGGTTTAGATTCGAAGAATTGAGTTCTGCAGCTCTGTTTGGAGGAGGAGGAAAACAAACCAACAACCAAAAAAAGCCCAATGCACAATGAAACGCAAAACTTGCTTAGCTTCCTTTCCCCTTGCATCACTGAGATTTGGTGAAACTGAAGTTAGCAGGAAGGCTTTATTCTTACTGAAAAGATGTTTGACATAGTGTTTTTGTTCAGGACTGGGACTAAATGCTTCCTTTAGTGAGCGCTTTGGGCTTTGCCCCCACTGAAAGCCTTTCCTCTGCAGGCTTCTGAGATGGCAGAGCTCACAGCCAGGATCACGCAGCTGGAGCTGGCCAGGCAGAAGAAGGAGAGCGAGGCCCAGCAGTGGCAGCAGAAGGTAAAGCAGATCTGAGCAAACAGCAGTGCTGTTTGTGACATTGCTCTTTGTTCTGGGTTGTGACTGAAACTCCTGCACGAGATTCCACACTAGGCCGAATGTCTGCAGGCTTGAGGCTGTTGTCCATACCCAGCGTTCATTTCCTTGGTGGAAATGGGTGACTTGTTTTGACTCCATGTAGAAATATTTTGACTAATTAGGCCTGTAGGCCATTTTCCATGAGTTGTAACCATTCTTCAAGTCTCCGAAGTGTTACCCAGCAGAGTTTTGCAATGATGGTGACTGAGTAGATTTGGAACATACCCCGTCAGAGGTGCAGGGCTTCCTGCAGCAAGCACCAGGTGCTGTCTCTGTGGGAAGTCTCAGCACTCAGGACTGCGCTGACTGACTCGTGTCATACCTTACTGCAGGCACAGATGGTGCAGCAGGACCTAGAAAAGACCAAAGAGGAGCTGAAGACTGCCATGAGCACCCCTCATGTCACTGAACCCATGCACTCTGAGAATGAGCACGATGACGAGCAGGATGAGAACGCGGCGGAGGCCAGTGCCGAGCTGCGGTCAGAGGCCACCATCAAGGACCGCAGCGAGGAGGAGCGCACCACTGAGGCGGAGAAGAACGAGCGGGTCCAGAAACACTTGAAGGTGAGAAGTTGGCAGCATGGAGTGTGTCTGCGTGCTGCTTCTATTTTCCTCGACCTTAATTGTGGCTGGAAGGTAGTACTGTTTTAAAAATGAGGGGAGAAGTGGGGAAGAGAAATAATCCTGATCTTGCCAGATAGCTGCTTAACCGTTGAGTGGAGAGGCAGATCTTGTCTCCTGGCACTTGACTTGCATTGCAGTGGAAGTAAGGAAGCATGTTGAAGCAGTGCCGAAAAGCAGCATCTGTCAGGCTCGGTGCGCTTTGTGGGAGTGTTGCCAGCCGCCTGGCAGCTGCTCACAGCCCTGGCTGCAGCGAGTCGAGAGCTTTGGTCTGGCTCCTGTCAAGAAGCTGTCTCTAACTGCCCTTTCTGGGCTGCAGTGCAAAACCCTGGGAGTAGCCCACTAGGGCTCAGCATGGAGAGAGCAGTACTGCCACTGTCTTCTTGTAAGAATATCCTGTGTTCTGGTGTTGACTTCTAAGCATTTTGCTGTGCTGTCTGACTTGCATCAGGCATTGCGTGTTCTGTGTTGTGCTGCAGTGGTTGCACATAGAGGGACAGAAGTGCGCTTTATCTTCTGCAACCAAGTCTCATTCCTGGTGAAAAGCTAGTAGTTTCTCAAATCCTACAAGATGCTGCTGTTGTCTTTAGGGATTCTTCCACTTAACTACTCTTCTGAAGTACATACATTGGAGACAGTCATGCTGTGCTAGACAAAGATAAATAGGGTGACAGATTTCCTGATGTTTTCTACCTTCAAATGTTAGGGAAAAAAAACACCTTCCACAAAATGACAGAATTGTTTAGATTGGAGAGGCTTCCTGAGATCATCTAGTCCCACTTCTTGCTGAAGTAGGGTCCGCCAGGGCAGGTTTCCCAGAACTGAATACACCTGGGCTTGTCTGTTTCCTGTCCCTGTGGGTATTGAATCTTCAGGAAGATCAACAAGGAACCTCCTTGTCCAGCCCTGAATGTCTGGCACATGTTAACCTGTTGCTGTCTGTTTCCCCTTCTCTGAAGGCTCTTTCCTCGGAGCTGGCGAACGCTCGGGATGAGACCAAGAAGACGGCAAACGACATGATCCACGCCGAGAACATGCGTCTAGGCCGAGACAAGTACAAGACCCTCCGTCAGATCCGCCAGGGCAACACCAAGCAGCGCATCGACGAGTTCGAGTCCATGTAGCTCTCCCCTGCGTGCTCTTCTCCCCTCCCTCCCCTCCTCTCCCGTCACTCACTCGTAATCGTGCTACGCTGGAACCACTACAGAAGAGCGACCATGGTCTTACCAAGTTTCAGGCAAATGCTGGTGTTGAGCAACAGAAGAAAGAATAGTATTTACATCTTCCTGGGGTGGCTTGGGAAAGCAAACACGTATTGGGGCAAATCTGAAATTGTTTGGCTGGGGGTAAAGTCTCACCGCGTTGAGTCTGGGATTGCTCTGAGTGGCTGTGCTGCTGTCCTCCTCCTGGGTGGGGCAGCCAGCAGATACCTGTGCTGCGTTTGTACAGTCAAATGCTGACAGTCTGACACTGTGCCTTCCTACTAACCTGCACAAGCTTCAGGGTTAAGCTTAGTAGCCAGGGTCTGTATTTGTCACTTAGTGCAGGGTCTGAATCACATAGTTGAGAAGGGAAGACTGGAGCTTAGCAAGAAGGGTTGGAGGGTAAAATGTGGACTTTGTTTCTGAAGACCAAAGCTTTCGTCCTACAAACATAAGCAGACCAAACAGTTTCTGTGGTGTTCCTGCTGGTGTTACCTTTTGTTGTTTAATGATGAAACTTTGAATTTCCTAATTATGAGGAGGCCTTTGGAATATTTCCAGTGATGTAATGTGGTTGAGAGCCTCAAATTCCCTGCTTCCCAGAGGTTTTGTCTCTGGTAAATGGCTTTGTTCACTGTCATTTGTCTGACTTGAATGTAACCAGCGAGGCAGAGGTAGCTAAAGTACACTGCCTTCCTTTTTGGTTTTGCCAGTGAAAACCTGAAGTGGGAGGTAGAAATGTAAAAGAGTAAAAATTCCTGGAGCTATATTTTTCCCTTGCTGAACTAGTACTTTTCTAATTATGTGACAGGATTCCAGGTTTTTCAGTGAGAGGCCATTATAGCACATCGTAGTTGGTGCCTTATGACTGTGTATAGATCTACTGTAGCTTAGGTAGCTTTAGTTTAAACTAGATGCAATCATAAGAAGTGATCAGCAGCTGGGGACCAAAAACTACTCATGGATCTGGGTCATGTTCAAGACTGCATCTGTCTTCCTGGCTTCAAGCAGCATTTGAGGGGAGAGGATCCTGAGATACTTGTCCAATTTGCTGCCTTAGTCCTCGCTAGCATTCTGCCAGGTCCTGGCTCAAGTGCTTGTCCTTCCCCAGATGGATGCTTTGCCCTTTTGTAGCTGTGAGAACAGAGGCTCTCTCTCTTAGGAACGGGACACAAGCAGTTGTGAGACTGGTCCCGTGAGCCGTTTGTACCAGTTGTTGCGATGCCCATCACCTCCTGTCTTCCAGGCTGTCCTTGCTGTAGCTGCCCAGAATCCTCCCTGCCACTGCTGGGGAGGCAATAGCCATGTATGCTCAGGGTTGAATTGGATTTTGCCTTGATCCTTCATTAAAGGAACTGTCAAACTTCAGGAGAGGCCTCTTAAAAATGGATGTCACTTAAAGCGAAGTCCTCCTTTGCTTTGTCCTCCTTGGATTAGCCTGTCCCTATAGGAGGTCACCAGGTTAGCCTGTGACTTATTTTCTTGCCTAGCATGATGCCAGATCTTGTGCCTTTATCAGTTCTGTGGATTCTCCCTTTGTTTTGTATGGCGTCACTGCTCATGTGATAGAAGGAAAACATCTGAATGCAGGAGTGTTTTCATCTCCCTGCTGTGTGGGAGAGGGTGAAGGGGGACTGTGCCAAAAGAGAAACATTCCTGATAGTGTTAACAAACTGCAGTATTTCCCCAAGAATTCCTTGGGTTGCTGGAAACAACCTCACCAGTGCTGTATTATTTTGTTTTTGGAAGCAATACAAGTCTGTGTGGAGATTCCTACAAACACCAACCAACCAAACTCTGTTAGATGCAACACACTGAGCTTTGCTCCTAAGCATCCAGGCGTGTCACGGAGAGCCCTTCTCCCCCTGGACGTGCTGTAGGGGGACAGGACATGGCAAGCTGTTCGTTGGCTGGAAGCACATGCCTCAGTACTTTGGAAGTCACGAAGGAAAGATTGCGGTTGAATTTGTCTAACTGATTTATTTCTGTACCGCAGGTGATTGGCACTGGCTCCTTGTGAGTCTCATTACTGGGGAACAGACAACCTTTACACTTCTGTTTTGGTGCTTTAATGCTGGTTCTCAGCTCTTCTGCTTTGTCCATGGCAACTATTGATGCATTTGAGGGGAGAAAAGCCTTTATTACTTTAACAGTTTTCTAACAAGCTGATGTATGGTGCCTGGAATATGTGTTCAAATAATAACCCAGTAAACCTTTCCTGCTTTGATGGGTCACACACTGCTGAGCTCTTGTGTTACGGTGTTGGCATGACTTCTGTTCATAGGGTTTTGTAACGTTCTCATTCCACATGGTCCAATACAGGAATAGAACGGCTTGTGCCAGTGAGTCCACCTGACTCTTATAGTTGTTTCAGCCCTGCCTTCTTCTTAACCAGTATTATATCCCAGTGGTATCTAATGATATTTGATTTCAATACTTCTAGCTATGCACAATTAGGAAATATTAGTCGAGGGGTGGAGGATGTGTTTATGGTCCTCCTGCCCTTGGAAATGTATACTGTATTGTAAAGAAATGATATTTTGCAAGTAAACTAATGTAAGAAGCTTTCAGTATTACAGTGAGATTTGTAGACACATTTTTTTTATTTGTTGGAATACAGTGAATTGTTCTTCCTCTCCACATTCCAGTTTAATTGGATAACTGCTCCTCTTGGGGTGGGGAGAGGGAAGTACTTTATCAAATGTTTGCCTGGCTTATTTTTTCTTGTTTTATTTTTTGTTGCTGTAAATTATATGGAAGGGTTTTGACCAGTCTTCTACTGGATTAGGATAAAACATCAGTTCCCTGAGGTTGTGGAGTAATTCATGGGTCTATGTGCTTATCTGCAGAGACAACCTTGATATTAAGGCATTTTTTCCTGTTTGGAGGAGTTGTTAAAATCCATACCTTGTTCTTCCTGAAGTGCCAATAAAGTTCAGAGAAACTGAGCAGATTGTGTCTGGCTGGTTACTTAAGGCTTGCTCTGAGTGCAGTGCTGTGTCTCCCAGCTCTGCCTGTGGCTCCCAGAGGTCACCTCGGGGGCTCTGTCAGGACTAAGGAGATCTCACTTGTGCCCTGAAAAGCAACTGCTTGAGAAACAACCCTTTGGCTGTCCCCAGCCCTTTGGCTGTCCGACTGGAGCCAGTACTGCAACTCACAGTCCTTTGTGGAGACACAGTGTAAGTTTGTATGTGTTAAGCTTGCAAATAGCTGGGTCAGGTGGAGGGGGAGTAGCTGCTGCTGCTGAGCACCTGCTGTGCCATGCCTAGCCCCACGTGCACCCACCACCAGGTCAGCATGGAGAGAGTGCCAGGCCTTGGTGCTGCAGCTTGCCCTGACACCCTGCTAGCTCTGTCCTGCCCCCCCCCCACCTGCCGTGGGGATTTCAGCACTGTTTTGCAGCTGCCTTGCCCTGGCTGTCTCTGCCTTTGTTTCCTGCTGCCCCAGGATGGGCTCTGGCAGTGGAGGAGCTTCTTCCTGCTAATGAACGCTGTGGTCTTTGTTTGCAGCTGCTTTCTGAGTGTGAAGAGGAGCTGCTCAGAACTACTGCCTCATGTTTGATGCACTGCAGGATAAGGTGAAGATTTCATTGGAATAAGTTAGTGCTCAAGATTTGGTGCTGGAGGAGAAACCTGAACTTGTCTATAAATAAAACATGTGGAGCAATAGAGACCTCTGTGACCCCACCAGGCATGGCTTGGATCCAGTTTCTGTAGGTGAGTATTTTTTTGTTCCTTTCTTCCTTGCAGGATTCAAAACCCCTGAACACTGGAGGAATTGCCTGGCTCCTTCAATGCTGCTGCAGCCTTCAGGTGAAGGTTGCACTGGTCTGGAAGGGCTGATCTCACGGAGGGGGGGTTCTTGCCGTTTCTGTTGCTCTTGCTTCTCAATGGACAGTACCTTAGAAACTTAGTAGTCTTTGTAGTTCTCCATTTAGTTGTATCTCAATTCAGTTTGTCCTTGAAGAAATGGAAGTGCAAAGCATTAAAAGCTGAAACTGCTTCTGTACAATACCATGTTGTTAAAAAAATCCAATCCAAACCACCCTATTCTCCTAGTCTGTTTTAAGGCAGTTCGTAGTTTAGAGTCAGAAATTGTTACGTAGCCTCGAGGTTGAGCAGATAGCTTCTGTTGGATTTGCATTTCAAATCCAGCTTAGGCTACACCTCTGTGTGTTTGGGGCCCAGCTGCTTTTGTCTGTGGGACAGGGACAGACTAGATCATGAAAAGTTCTCAGAAGAGCAGGGGACCAGAAACACTGTCTTTTGGCAGGTTCTACAATGTGGCTTTATTAAGCAGTGCACTTACCTAAGGAAAAAAAGCCAAAGTAACCCTGTGGAATTAACTTTCCATTGAGATCAGCAGCAGTATTGCACTCTCATCTGTCTTTGAAGCAGCCTTGAATGGATGCTTGAAGGAGAAGCATCTGGAAGTGAAGGTCTTGGGCTGGGGCACTGTGACTTCTTAATGGCCTTCACCCAGGCAGGGAGCAGCTGCCTTGCCAGTGGTGCCTGCTGTCCAGGAGGCCTGTTGTGAATCCGTTGTGCTTCCCTGTGCACTGTTAGCCCATCTCTGATGATTGTCTTTCTGCCCCCCTGCTTCCAAGGGTGAAAACCTGGTCCTTGCTCCTTTTCTTTTTTTGTCATTCTCAGGTCACTGAACATCTAGAGGAAGGTCAGAGTGGGAAAATTGCAGTCTTGCTTAAGAGGTATAGAAACTGAGGCACATTTCCAGTCTTCCTCCCCGAGGCTCCAGCCTCTGAGGCAGTCAGGACCCTGTGACTGAAGCATACTTGATGTGAGCAGTTTGCCCTGGGTCTGGGTGCACTGCATCTCTTCTGAGGCAGCAGCTGCACTCTGTACCTGGGCTTGAAGAAAGCCAAACCAGCACAGCTTGTCCTGTTTGTGCTTACTAGCAGCTTGCTCTGGAACAGTAAAGGTGGTTGATGGGTTTTCATAGTGACAATAAGGAAGGGGAACTTTAGTTTTGTTCGGTGCTGTGGTTCTGTGTGAGCAAGCAGACTGACTGTCTTCTTCCCTCCAGGAGCACTTAGGAGCCGATGGGTTCAGGAGGAGGGGAGGGGTAGGCTGTTCTTGCTGTCCCAGGTAATGAAGGCTGCTTCATTATTCCTGGGTCTGTGTGACTGATGCTCTGACTATACTCCTTGAGACTTCACTCGTGGGAACAGCATGGGCTTGCCTCTGTCTGCAGCTGAATAGCATGGGCAGTGACTGAGCCAGGGTAGCTCTGCTTGGTGGCAGGAAACATTGGTCCAGAGGAGCTGGGTTTAGTACCTCAGGAGTCCGAGTGTGCTTCTGGCTGTAGAGGGCTGCAACGCTATTGTGTAACTTCTGGTTGGATCAGGGCAGTAAACACTGATTGCAGTGTTTGCTTCCTGTGCAGAAATGGGGGATGAGGTGGAGTTAACAGCAGCTCTTAAGTGTTTTGGACATTTGCATCCCTAGAGTGGGGGCAGAGAAGCCAAATTATTTGGTGTGTGGTGCAAAAGATATTGGACAATGTATTTCAAGCTAGAAAAGCACTCCCTTCTGAGCATGTGCCAACACAGAGCCAGATGTGCAGGCACAGCTGCCGCATGGACAGAGTGACCTGCTGGCCAGAGCCTGGGGAGGGGATGTGCCTGGGGGCACTGCTGGGACTTGGCTCCTGCCAAACCTTGGGTGAAACAGACCTAGAGATTCTTTGCAGCTGTGTCTGGCCTGCTCATAAAGTATGTGCTGACGTATAAAGCAACATTTCAAGAGCTTTTTTCAAAGCAGTGTTATTCTCTCTGTGTTGGTTTTGTTGGCTGTTTGGTTTGGGTTGGTTTTTGTTGGTTGGTTTGGTTTTTGTGGGAGAGGTGGTTATTTGCAAAGCTTTGTGCCCCAGGTGAAATGAATACTGGTTTACTCTGGAGAGGCTGCATTTACTTCTAGGCTTGCCGCTAGAGGGAATGGAGGGCAAAGGAGATCTTACTTCTGCCCTTTCTCAGTATTGCGAAGACCTTAGAACAGGCTATCCAAGTGCAGTAAGGGGCTGATTCTCTCCTGCCCCGGTGGGGTTGTTCTTGCCTTCAGCAGGGGACAGTAGTTCCCTTTGCTGCATGCTCCCTGCCTGCTCAAATCTGACTTCCCTCTATGTGTTGGCCTCTCTTCCATCGGGTGACATTGACCTGTCACTTGCTGTGCTCTGAGTCCCTGGCAAGGAGAGGGGTCAGTGCCAGGCAAACACACAGATGTCCTTGCTGTGAGAACTGCTGTGCATATATCTAGTGTAGCTCTCAACTCAAGGTTTGCCAGAGAGATAAGATGCTTTGTGGTTTGTTTGTGTGTGCTGTGGCTCCTCTCCTTGCGTCCCTCGCAGCAAGCCTTGCTTTCCTTGCACAGAAATGCTGAGACAGAACTGGGCTGCACCTCTGCAGTGCCTGAACAGCGAGGGCAGAACCGGTCACAGTCTCTGGCTGCAGAGGCTGCACAGAACGGTTTTAAGTTCAGGGGTGAGACACAGCCCAAGAGTTTGGGTTTGAAGGCTGAAGTATTCAGGGCAGCTTGCAGGAAAGAGCAAGCCATCTGGAAAAGCTGATCAGAGAGTGAGTGGGCACAGAGCAGAGACTGCTCAGAGCTGCATTCAGCTGAAACAAACCACGGGCCTCACTGCCAGCTCTCCTCTACAAGCAGGGCTGGGCAGCGGAAGCCTTGAGAGGATGTTCTACAAGTGAATCGAAATGGGGAATTTTTGCATTAACTGGTGCTGAGGGGTGGAGTTGTAGAGAAACCCCAGTGATCCTGAGCACGGCTGGGCTGGCTCCCCTGTTCTGGCATTGTGCCGCTGTCCTGCTGCTCGGGGACAGGCCGTGGCCAGCTCTCAGCAGATGGTGGCTCTCGCTGGCTGGAACTGGGGGTAGCACTTGCTTTGGATTAAAATTCCAGTGATACTCTGGTTTGTCACATCCTCCCTGTGCTCAGAGCTGTTGGTCTGAACCAAACCTGAGGCGTAAATTCTGCAGCAGAAAAGAAAGCAGGATGAGCAGGGGCTGGCAGGAGGGTGCCGCAGAGCTGTAACTGCTGCTGGCCAAGCCTGTCGCGCATTGAGCTGGGAAGTGTCGCCTGTGTTCGGCAGAATGAGTGAGGCTTTGGTCAGTGATGACCTGAAACAAAGTCCACATTAGCTCGAGCTCCTCCAGCCGAGCCCTGCGTGTGCTGGGCGTGGGAGCTGGGCTGCCCAGCCTGCCTTCCTGGGCAGCTGGAGCATGAATGGTGCTGTGTGCTGCTCTGCCAGGTGCAAAGGGACCAGAGGGAAGGAAACAGGTGATTTTAGAAATGGGATTTCCCCTGAAATAAAATAACCCTTTATGCACTGCCCATGAGTTCCTCTCCACTGGGGCTGTATCAGGGGGGTGCTCGGACACTTGCCTTTGAAACTATGGGACTGAGGAATAGGTTTCCCATCCTGCCTTGTGGAAAATACTTTTAGTCCTTAATGTCTTCAATGTTTTTTTCAGAAAGCTTAAGCATCTCCTTCCAACCTGAAAGCTTTGGGTGGAAAATTTTCATTTTGGGGTGAAAAGACATAACTTTCCAGTTATCTTCAGAACTATAACCCACTGTGTATGTGTGCATTTTCTATCCACTTCTCATGCTGTAGTTTCTTTTCCCTGTATGGATTGGTTAGAGAGTCCAATATTAAAGGGTTTTGCTCATACTGGCTACTAATATGTTACTGCATTAAAAGAACTTGATTAAAGCAGACACCCTACCAAATGGTGAGCTGCTTAACTGGTGCTGTGGACAATTCAGGCTCTTGAGATGAGAGCTGTTCTTAAACTCCACAGATATCAGGAGCTGAAACTGTCCCTGCTGTCACATTTTGGGTCCTTGGGGGCAAATTGATTTACGCTGGAGACAAGGGTAGACTGAACCAGTGATGGTGTTTCTGGGAATAAATGAAAGAGGTTTTTTTTCTGCAGAAGGCTTACTGGCCTGGAGTATCACTGTGAAATGAATTGTATTTGTCTGTGCCTTTATGGCACTTTTCAGCAGAGAGTTTAGCAAATGGGCACAGTGTGGTGGTCTGTCACCATTGTCTTGTGAAGTGAGCAACTGTTAACGTTTCGGAGCTGGGGGAGTGCTGGGGAAGGCAGTGATGTGCTGGATGCCACCATGTCAGGAGCAGAATCCCTCAGTCCTACTCTCACCCTGTTGCTGTAGGAGCTGGTGTGCCCCTCTCCTGCAGGCAGCAGCCATCAGCTCTCCTGCCTGTCTGCTCTTCCAGCCCTCAGCTTGCAAACCCTTGTATGACTAGACATTGCAATGAATATTGCTCCTGACACTGGATTTATCTTTGGTTCCCAAAAGGAAAGTCTGTAAGGCAGAACAAGGTGAGCATTGTTTGGGGACTGGTATGTGGAGGTGATGCTCATGTTACTGTGCTTCACCTAATTCCCATGCCCCGATGGGCTGGACTGCAGCAAGATCCAAGCACAATCCCCGTGTCCATCCTTCCCTGCTGCTTTCCCTCCCTCTTCTCTCTCCACCCCCAAGGAGGATGTCCTACTTTTTTTCTCTTTTGTTTTTATTCCCCCTCTCAGCTGTACTTAAGTCTCTAGCTGTCCTTGCAAGGAACAGGCGACAGGGAGCAGGACCCAGAACAGGATGATAGCTCAGGGCGTCACGGGGCTCTTGCGACCCTTGTGCACTGTACTGAACATGAGCAAAATTCGCCTTGTTTATCTCTGTGGAATGACTGAGCAGCATCACATCCCAGCAAAGTGGGGGGCAAAGAGAGGCTTCAGCTCCACACACAGGCTCCAGGATGCCCCCAGGGAATCCAGGTGAGTCGAATGCTGAGCCTGCCTTGCTGCATCCGAAGGGCCTTACCAAGAGGTACAGACATGTGCCTTGCCCTGCAGAGCTGTGGTCTGTGGGAGGTGGTGGGCTGGGTCACCACCTGCGGTGAGCAATGCCCACAGGAGGAAAGTGATGCCATCACCAGGTCCGAGAGGTGCCATTCCCTGTCCCCGGAGCTGTGAGGACCTGTCCGAGAGGTGCCATTCCCTGTCAACAGAGCTGTGGGGACGTGTCTGAGTGGTGCCATTCCCTGTCTCCTGAGCTGTGGAGGCTACAACTAGTGTCCTGGATCTAGCTGATGGAGGTGACAATGTAGCATGAGAGTCCTTTGGCCCCTGGTTCCCAGTCACCAGCCTCTGAGAACGGGGACAGTGGCAAGGTGTGCCAGGCAGTGAGGCCGTGGCTCTGCTGTGTCCCTGCTGGGATGGCCGCGGGGTTGCTCTGGGAGTTGAGAGTTCTCTTGGGTTTCTAGTCCCCTCTGCTGCAGGCAGAGCAGGCAGGGGCTGATGTCTGCAGCTCTCGGAGCGCAGTGCTCTCAGGGCCGCAGGCGGCCACGCCGGGAGCTGCTGTGCCTCGCTGGGCAGGGGCTGGAGCAGCTCTGGCCGTGGGTGCGAGGGGCTGTGCTGTGGCTCGGGTAAAAACCTGGCGCCTGGACCAGGGGCCTGTGCCAGGCTTCGCCAGCTTGTTGTGGATGGGATGCCTGGTCTGTCACGGATGCTGAGCTTGAGTCGACCTCTGTGGGTGATAAGCACTCAGAAGTGCACGCTCAGCGTTGCTGCTGAACGCACGTGGTCCCTGCCGGGGCAGAGGGCTCCAGCTGGTCACCTGAAAGGGCAGAGTTGGGCCAGCGGAGAGGCCTGGCTGGGAAGAAGCCCCGTGGGGCAGAGGAGCCCAGGAAGGCTGGACAGCCCTCAGGATGGACGTGTCCGAGGTGCAGGAGCTGTCTGTGCCCTGTGCCGAAGGGTGTGCGAGGCTGCCGGCACCGAGCACTCCATATTCCTCAGCAGGAGCTGCTGCAGGCTCCCTGGCAGCCTCTCCTCTCCCGGCATGGGAGGGACGGTTCACCAGGAGATTGCAACGTCAACTTACTTTGTAGATCTCCTAGACCAGTGTGATCTGGGTCGGACTGTGACAGGCACTGAGGTAAAGATCCTATTGCAGAAAATACAACACACCACTGTGCTGTCTGACCTCACTGAAAAGCTGCACTGATAACCCTGATGGTTGGTTTCTTTCCAATTGCTCTGCTGCTTGTGGAGTTATCTCTGGCAGAGCTTGTAGGCATCTCCCTGGTTTGTGTGGCCTTGGAAAGTATCTTTTAGGGGAAAACACTGACAAGGAGAAGAACCACTTTCTTGAAATCCCCTTCTCTAGTTTCCTGTGCCACAGAAGGTTTGAGGTTTTATTGTTTGAAAGGGAGTAATCACTTGGCATGCATTGAATTTGCAGTGCTGAGCTTGTCACATCCTGCTGAGAGCTTTCCAAAGCTCTGACTGTGCATCCTGTGACAGTGGCACCACCGCAAAATAGTTCAATATAAATGAAGCAAAATTTGGTCCACTCAGTTCTGATTTATTTTTTTTTTTAAATCCTGGCTCAAAATTACTTTCTTAACAAATGGGAAAGTGATTTTTTCATGGTTTCAAAAGCACCAATGAACAAATCCAAAAGCAAATAAAAAATAGAAGCCACAGATTTGTTTCCAGCCTTGGGAGCCCAAAGCAGGTGTCCTCAGAGCCTGGGACTGCTTTGAGGGGATGAGAGCAGTATGCAGCTGAGTCTGTGGGAGGTGGCTGAGCTGTGCAGTGAAAACAGGGAGGTCCTGGGCTGGATTTATGCCCCAGCAGAGGCACCTGGACTTGTGAGCACAGACAAACAGCTTCAATGTTCCCTTCAGCCAGTGAAGAGGGAGAAAGAGACTGCTTGCAGTTGCTCTCTGTCATGGCCAGGAGTGCTTAGCATCATCCCTGCTCCTGCCAAGAGTGAGCTGCTGGCCCAGAGGCACACAGGGTCTGGCAGTAGCATCTGTACTCGTACCTAGCTGGATCCCCTGTGTGCTGCAGCTTGGCCGACCTGGGGCTCGTGTGACACAGCAGCAGCCAAAGCAGGGCTGGACCTAGAGGAACCGCAGGGGACTAGACGTGCAGGAGGCTGGTGCAGAGATTCTCCTGAGGCTGATACTGGCCGAAGCTCTCGGTGCCTCAGGGATAACGGGAATGAAGTTTTCTATCACCGAACACATGGCAGCTCTGAGGCTGTTGGATCCAGCACTCCCTGCAGGCACTCAGCTCACATTGTCCTGTCAAAAAATCCATTCAGCTGCAGCATTCACTGAAGTTCTATCACTTTACCATTTCTATTGTCTAACAAACTGTTTCACCCATAAGTACAAACCAAACATTTCCTGGAAACCTGCCTATTTGCTATACAGGTAAACGGAATAAGTACTGGAACAAATCGGTCTGAGCCATCAAAATATGAAGAGTTGTAGTTTGCTTTACTTAGACTTTTGAGAACTAGTCTTTAAACTGCTTATTTAGAAAGAGGTATCTGTGTCTTTATGAAGGAGACTGAAATGTCTTAAAGGCGTTTTTGGCCGTTTGCTTTGGGGAACAGGGTCCTGCATGGCTGTGTGGGACTGCAGTGTGATCTTTCCATTTTGCAGGTGGGAAGCTCTTCCCTCTGCAGCATGGCTCTGGTGCTAACCGCACAGCTTTTGCTGTACACTAACTGCCCAGGCATTTCTTGTGGCTGCAGCTCTTAGAAAAACAGGAAGCCTCCTGGGATGAAGGGACAGTAGTCCCCGTGCTCTGCTCTTGCTAGCTGAATCAAAACACAGCTACAAACTAAAGAGCAGAGAAGGCAAAAATTACTGTTTCCTCTCTTTTTCACTTCCAAATTTTGATGGAATATGGGGATTGACTTTCCAAAGAGAATTGTTTGGAATTTTCTGCTCCTGAAGTCTTTCTTGCTGATGCAGTTCACATTTTCATGTCATCCTTAACGTCAGAGTTGAACTGCACTGATCTGCCAGGAGGTAAATAGGATTAGAGCTGGATGGTGACTGGCTTACATGAAGTGGAATGAACAAAACCTGCAGACTGGAAAAAGGGAAATGTTTCTTTCCCCTTTTCCATTATATTTTTGCAGGAATTCTTTCTTATCTCCTATTCAGCTGGATGCATCCCCTATATTCTGCCTCTGCCTCCTGTGAGTTAAGAAAGGGAAAGCTGGTCCTTATGTGTTTGTGCTTAACACTAGAAGCAATTCAGCAGAATTGGCCTCACTGTCATTGCTGCAGAGCAGAGAGAGGTGAACAGACAGGATCTTTCCAGCTGCTGGTGTTGCTATCCAATGTACAATTCCTCCCTTCTTGCAGGATTAGTGTCTGATCCTGAGCACTTTGCCTGTTATTACATCATTCTATCCAGGATTTACATCCTAGGCCCAGGACTTGCAAATGCTTTGCCTACCTCCACATGCTCCCTCTGCCAGCCAGCCCAGGCAGCGGCAGTGGGTGCAGAGCCACCTGCAGTTGTTCATGCACAGAGAGACATTTATTCTGAAGGATGTTTGATAAAGTGGGAAATATTTGGGGGTAACTCAGATGCATCTGCCACTGAGAACTGATAATTTGAATTCTTTCTGGTGTGCGTGGTGTAATCCCTTGAGAAAGTGTTTGTATGTGCATTTCCCTCCACGTACCATGCCTCCAGCACAGCCTCAGCCTGCAGGAAAGGGTGGGCTCCTCTCAGTTTGGCAAACCTGTCTTACAGCTCTGCAGGCCAGGTGACAGTGCATTTCCTAAACCGAGATGGAGAGCGATTTACAACCAGCGCCAAGGAAGGGGAGAGTTTGCTGGAAGTGGTCGTCAACCAAAACTTGCCCATCGACGGCTTTGGTAGGTGTTGCAGAAGGATATGTGTGTGTGCTCTTAGGACCTGTGAGTACCTGGCAAGAGTGCCACTGTGTTCTGCTGAGCTCGCCGCCTGGCTGACCACGCCAAGGCGGCAGTGTGACCTCCTGCAGTCACTGCTGCCCTTCCAGCAGCCTCTGTCAGTGTGTTTGGCTGGTTAGAGCGGAGGTACAGACTTGAAACCTGGTTGTGGTCCTCCCAGAGAAGCACAGGCTGAGACCTGCAGCCATCTGTTGTCTCTTTTGATGTGTTCCAGGTCTGCTAAAGGATGTCTTCTCACACTGTTCCCAAAGGTGGTCTCGTTCACCCCGTTTGTCCTGCTTTGCCTGTCATTCCCTCATTTCTCCTACAGGTGCATGCGAAGGGACATTAGCCTGCTCCACCTGTCACCTCATCTTTGACAAGGACACCTTCCAAAAGCTTGGTGCCATCTCAGATGAAGAGCTGGACATGCTGGACTTGGCATATGGACTCACTGAGACGTAAGCCTCTCTGCTGATTACAGCAGATCCTCAAGCCTCTGATAGATTCTTAGCACATGGCACCTTTCTCTGAGGGGACAGGGATTGTTCTGTATTATGGTTGTGCCTTGAGAGCTGTTTTCTCTTGGGGCACAGGAAATCTTTAACAGGAGCTTTAGTGAAAGCCTAGCCTGGACCAGACATCCCAGTGTGGGTGGGGAATTCCCCCCTTTTCTGTGGGAACAGATGAGCCTCACGTCATGTTTTCTCCTCAGCTCACGCCTTGGCTGCCAGGTGTGCATCAAGAAGTCAATGGATGGTCTGACAGTGCGGGTCCCCATGGATGTGTCGGACATCAGGAGGCAGCAGGAGGTCGGAAAACAGAGCAAACAGTGACTGGAAATGACTCCTGCGCAGCTCACGTCCTCTGAGGTGTGCCAGGGTACTGTGCTTTCGGTGCACATTGTTGCTTTCTGTGGCTGCCACACTGTAGACCATAGAGGTCTGATTCAGTATAAAATGCCTGGCTGCAAATCTCTTGTTTAAACAAAGCTTAATGCTAATAGGTTATTTGGTATGTGTTTTAAGTGCTCAAATGCTTTGCTGAACACAGTGGGACTAAAGTGTATGGCGTTATTTTTCCCTGGGTAGGTGTCACTAAACATCTGTGCTGCATGTGACTTGCCCTCTCCTTGGAAATCTCTGAGAATTCTGAGTAACTGCTGAGAATTTTGCAAGACTCTTTAACAGTGGAGCAGATTTTTCCCAATTTGGGAAGTGTAAGAAGGAATGGCTGTTCGGAAGTCAGTGTGCTGATGGGCTTGATGATGTAGGTGACCTGATGTTGAGGGTGACTTGAATTTGGTCACAAAGAGCATACTTGAGATTCAGATTAGATATCAGGGTGTTCAGGCACTGGGATATTTCCCAGGGAGGTGGTGGAGTGACCATCCCTGGAGGTGTTTTAAGAGGCATCTGGATCTGGTGCTGGAGGTTAGGGTTTAGGGGTTCCAGTAGTGACAGCTTAATGGTTGGACTCGATCTGAGAGGTCTCCTCCAACCCTGATGATTCCATGATTTTAGAATTCTGTGATTCTACTGATAACATTTCGTGCTGACAGTTCCTGTGAGTGGGAACCCCTTCCATGAGCTTGTGATGTTACCAGTGCCTGAATCATTCTGTGCCGGGATCTGCCGCTGTCCCCACCACTTAATTTCTCCCTGCTGTACTGTGTCCAGCACTGTTCTGCTGCGGAGGGCTCGGGCACTCCGTCCTGGGGGCGTGCAGGGCCAGGGCAGGATGGGGAGGATGGGGAGGAGGAGGCGAGGGGATAATACACCCCTGCACTGTGCCTCCTCCTCCCTCCTCTCCCGCACTCTGACGAGGCCTGGCCCTGGCTCGGGAAGCCAGGGCTGCTGTGTGAGCACCTCTTGCCGCCCCAGCCCTGCCCCTCTCGGCCTGTCCCTGTGGGGCTCAGGCACAGGTTTTCGGAGTTAGAATTTGACCCTTAACAGAAGGCTACCTGCGGGGGGATTTTCTGGCACAGGCCAGAACCACTTGCTGTAGGGGTGATGGCAGCACAGTGGATTTTTTGCCCTGCTTTGGGACCATGGATGTGGTGATGTGCTAGGGCTTTAGAGGCTCCTGACTGGCATTTCACATAAACCAGCTCAAGGCCAAGCCTTCCATAGGACAGCCCTTTGCTTTCTCATACCTCTGAAAGTCCTCCAGGCTGTGCCTGTTTCTCCCAAACCTCCTCTCCCTCCAGCTTGTCCCAGGACAAGCATTACTATGCTGTAATAAAGCAAAGTGAGTAAAACCAGGTCAAATGCAAGCAATAAGCAAGAACCTTCAGTACCACTCCACGTCTCTCTGCACCACTGATGCTGGCACTGCCCGCTCGTGATGCCGAGGGGGGCAGAGCTCTGCAGCCCCTCTCAGACCACCCCTCACTGTGAGCCTGAGGCCAGACCCCAGGCTGCTGCTGCAGGGCATCAACTCTCCACACACACATGCTGACAGGGTGGCACAGGCGGGAGCAGCTGCAGGCTTGGGAGGGTCAAGTGACCTGTGCTCCTCTTCAGAGCATGGATGGCATTCTAAGAAAGGGTTTCTAGGGCAAGCTGTGCAATGCAGGGAGTCAAAGCAGCCTGTGCTACTCTGGCAGGGCTGTCCATCCCTCAAAGGTGCTATGGAACAGCAGCGAGGTCCCGACTCAAAGGAGCTACCTGCAAAGGATGGGAGGGGAATACAGCTCAGGAGACTGGTTTTCCTGACTCTTGGAACATCAGACATAGGACTGAGAAGATTAAAATAAAGTACAGCTGCCCTGGGCACTTCTGTCATGTTTGTCAGTCTGCAGGATAAGAAAACAAATCATAGATGCCAAGCAGCAAGGAGAAGAGGCACTGCATGAGTCACTTCAAGGCAAATGAGCCGGACTTGTTTGGCCTTGGTCTGTACTGGGAGCAGGCCCTGCAGGCTCTCGCTTCCTGGAAGGTGACTGTGGACACGACTTCCCAAGTGGCAGGGAGCAGAGCCTGTAGCATGTGTCAGCAGCTTGGGCTAAGTCTTTCCACTTGATCTAAAAAAGTGCAGAGAAAGAGGGGAAACCTATTTGTGTCTCAGGGCTGTGCGCTAAGGGAAAACGCAGCATTTCTGGGGCAGAAAGCCAACTAAGCCTCTGTGTACTTGGTCCTTCTGGCTGGGAGCAAGCTGGGTGCTGTGGAACTTGTTTTGAGACTGGTCTCGGAGCTGCATTGTTTCCTGGGCTCGTGGAGAAGGACTGCTGCGGAGTTCCATGCCCACAGCTGTGGTTTGTGCTATGTTTTGCAGGATTTTGCTCTGGTTTAAATAAAGAAAACTGATTCGTAGAGGGCTGGGTAGGAGCAGCTACCCAGGGAACTGCTTCCATATTAGGCAGCTTAAGATGAGAAGAAAAATGAGTGTTTTGCCCTGCCTCTCCCAAGGTTTTGATAAAGTAACCTAACTTGTTTGTGATTCTTTTAGGTGATGCAAATGCTCTGCATTTCGTCCAGGTCCCCTTTGTTTGACCTGAGCCCAACCACTGAGCCAGTTTACAATCTGTTAGCATGTTTAGAACAGAGGCAGACGTTTCTTACAGTACTTGGTGCTGTTTCACCTCCCTGAAGGCAGGAGTAACGCCAGAGCTGCTCTGCTGGCAGAGAGCTCCTTGTCCGCCTGGCAGACTGGGGCTTCACAGCACAGTTCAGTGCTTGCAAGCACCACCCTGACACGGGGGAGCAAGAACAAGGGAACAAAAGGTGACAACAGCCCCACAAGGACAAACTTGTGTCTTTTATTGAAATAGTTACAACTGCAGCTCTGGAAAAAAGACTGTGAATGCCTCGTTGCTGTTCATGTGTGAGGAAAATCATGGTGGGGGGGTGGGGTTGTATCACGATTATCTACACCTCTCATTATACACAGGCCACAAAGGTGATCTGGGCCAGCGAGTGCCACATCTGAGAGTTAAACACTGCGCATATAACAAAATGAACTCTGTACACCTTGGAAAGTAAGCCCTGGGCTTCCCCCTGGCTTCCCTGCCCCAGTCTCCTGACAGTGTGAATTTGGAGTGCTGGGCCAGCTCCTGTCACTGACCCTCACAGGCACCTGGCCCATGAATAGAGGCATCTGACACCGACTAGATCATTTTGCAGAGGTGGCTTTCCCCTCTGTGCAAGGACTGAATCATGGCAGCTGTCAAGCAGCACCAGCTACATCTGTTTGCAGACACCAAGCAGCTTGCAGGGGCACCTGCTTCACAAAAACTACCTTTCAGTCACTAGGATTCATGTATTTCTCTTGTCCTTCACCCATTCACTATTCATTGCCTAAAAGGAGTGTGTCTCTGAGTGAAACCACCATAGGAAACTCTTACGTAACTTTCCAATGAACCATCCCAAACCTTTCCAGCTTTGAGACTTCTCCCATCAGTTTCTTAACACCTGTTGAACTAATGTGCTAATGTGGTGCTCTCAGCATCACTTTTGGAGCTCAGCTGGCAGCATCACAACCCTCTCACATGTCCCATTATGGCTGTGGCTCTTCTGAGCATGGCTCTGAGTGGAGTCATGGGGCTGCTTCAGGAGTGCACTGGCACCAGCAGCCCTGCCTGGACCTTCTCCAGACGTAATGCGGCTGGAGCGCACTGGGCCACGTCCTGTGCTGACTGGGAACTCGTTCTTCCCTGAGCTAGCATCACTGCTGCTGAAGCCTGGATTGTCTCAGGGTATGGACCGACAACTTTCTGCCCAGATGGGACTTTGCTTCAGTGTCCACTCAGTAACATTCCTGACAACTTCCACAACTCGCTGACCTTGTGCTAAAGCCAAATACTCCTCGAGTCCCTCTCAGCAGGGCTAGGAATTTGGGTAGTTGCCCCATCCATACCGCCTCTGGAAAGGGACACCATCACTCACAGAAAAATAATGTCACCTCTCCCTAGGACTGAAAGGATCAGCTACTCCCAGAAGGACACTGAAGAACATTCATAGCCCCTGTCAAAGTGAAAGTGCTAAAATAGCAGCTGTGGCTCTGTCAAACACTAGCTTTGAGGGAGGTGTGAGAAGAAAGAATCAATGCATGATTAACTGAGGGGGGAAGCAACCTGGGTGTCAAAATGTTACACGTTTTGTCTGTCAGTGGAAGCAGGACTTTGGGCTCCAGGCTCCAGCTGGTGTTTTTGGAGTCCAGCCTCAATCAGTAAAGGACATGGGCTGTGAGCCAGGCCACAGGGGCCTGCAGATGAGCAGGGTGAGGCAGCAGTGATCTCTGGGGTGGAGGTGAAGGGTCTTCCTTTGGATGACAGGTGGTGATAAACAGTGAGCAATGGTGGGTTTTGTGCAAGCAGAAAGATCTTCAGCTAATTCTGATGGAGCATTAGCTGTCCCAGTTCTCCAGTCACCCCCACACATCAGCATCTGACTGGAGAAAATAAAGCAACGTTTCACCCTTCCTGCTGTACAAAGGAACAGTCAGGCCCTGTTCAGGTCAGCTAATTCACAGGAAGGAGTTTGGTGGCATTCAGCCTCCTAAATACCCAGTGAAGACTTTCACTGGAAAAGGCATAAAGGAAAAATGACTCCCTGCTCCCACCCTCCCTGCCAAAATGAACACCAGACACTGACATTACATCAGCGTCACTTTACACTCGTTGCCCCATGCAGCCTGCAAAGTTCGTCACACCTGATCATATATTACACAATATTTTCTGCTGCACATACACAAAAGAATACATAGTTCCTCCACATCCATCAACCTAGACGAATGTCTCTTCCGCAAACATGGGCACGTCGTGCTCCTCCGCGGCCCTGTCTGCCCGCGGCGGG